GATCTGGCTATGGGTCTATGATTGGGGTCAATAAGCAACATATATGTCCAGTTGTATAGAAAGGATGTATTTTCGCTCATAAAACCTAAAACCAAACATACAGAGATGCATATGAGATATGTTTGCTATGGATACCAAACACTTTATTGTCATTTGACATTTCAGGGCGACACTTTTCTCTTCTTTAAGGTCAATATGTATGCATGCATCTATGCATGTATGTATGTATGTGTGTGCGTGCGTGCATGCATGAACTTTACGAATGATTCGTTCAATTCATACAGCACAAGAGCAGCCTATTTAAAATGGAAAGAGTCCACGTAGGCACGTCAGCCATTATAAGTATTGTCATTCAGCGGTGCCAGTTGCGTATCAATTATCTTAATTTGATTTTCTTTATCAGATTTCAATCGAGCCATAAATTCTTGACAAAGTTTGACATATACCTTACATTCATTGCCTAACGCCCGTGTTAACATCTATGCATATAATCACTTGTTTATCATTATATGTGCGACGTTTCACTTTATTGATAACGCTGTTAGCATCTTAATAATCGTGTCTTGACCAGACAATCCAGTGGTCAACAGTATGAGCATCGATCTACGCAATTTGCATGCGATGACATGTTCAACCAAGTCAGCGAGCTTGACAACCTGATCCCGTTAGTCGCCTGTTACGACAAGCATGGGTTGCTGAAGACCAATTCTAACCCGGACCTTCACGCGTCTACACAGAAACGTCACATATATTGTAATATAGAAGTCACTATATCCACAGATCTCCCTTGTTCAACACACGTGTTTGTAATTATATCAAGCATCAAGCGAAGTCACCTTTGCATCACACCCGTGGTCCGGGTTAGATTGAACCTTTAGTAACCTAAGCTTGTCGTAAGAGGCGACTAACGGGATTGGTCAGGCTCGCTGATTTGGTTGACATATGTCATCGGTTCCCAATTGCGCAGATTGATGCCCATGCTGTTGATCACTGGATTGTCTGGTCCACACTCGATTATTTACAGACCGCGCCATATAGCTGGAGTATTGCTGAGTGCGGCGTAAAACTAAACTCACTCACTCACTAACCTTTGCGTCAACACGCCACTCTTCCTCCAACACCAGGTCCACACTCACAAGCTGGGTGGTGCCTAGTTTTTAGACATTCTAGTGGTATCTTATCGTACGCTGTCCCACATACAAAATACCAGAATTCGCCACGTGCGTTCCTGGTAGCCAGGTGGTTGTCCCTGTCAGTTTAAGACTTGCTCTATCTCCAGCGTTGCCATTTTGCCGATATCCTGCGCCGAGCTTAAAACATGTTTTTGAAAATAAAATGGCTTGACATGGACCAGCTTCGTTTTCTAACAATGTTAGTGCTATTTGTTGCGTTACTGACGTAGTGTTGGCATGATTATTTTCAAATTCCATCATTTGGAAAACTTTTTTAGAGTTTCTGAAAGAATACGAACAATGCAGATGTCAACGGTGTTCTCCTTTACCTCGGAGACAGTGAACACGTTTTGTCAGCAGAAAAGTACAGTCAACTCTCGTTAATCCGACACTTGTGGTTGCAGAGAAATATGTGGGATTAACGAAAATGTCGGATTAATGAAAATGTCGGATTAATGTATTTGCGTGAAAATATCAATGTTTACTAAATGTCATGATCGTCATACTGTTGCATGCATATCAGAAATGATAGATCTAGTTATCTTCATCGTATGTACATGAAGACATTAATAGCTGTTCAAAATGGAATAATCACCATTCATTACATTTATGCGTTTGGTAGTATATACAAGTAAGTAATAAAGAGCCTGAAACAAAAACAGGCGAAACTGACAATTAATGCACTCTGTCAGGTCTTGTAATAATGCCGCCATATAGCTAGAATATTGCTGAGTGCGGCGTAAAACTAAACTCATGCACTCATTCACTCTTGTAATAATGGGGGCGGTGGGGTATGTAGCTTAGTGGTTAAAGCGATCGCTCGTCACTAGGGCTGCGCAATATAACCGGTTTACCGGTATTTACCGGTTCAGACATGAAAACGATACGCATTGCGATACGCTGATCGAAAACCGGTATTTTGACTTGCATTCGGAAAACTTCGTAACACTCGGAAATCTTCGGATATGTCCTTGTTTCATTTGTGCCAAATATTATTCATATCTATATTTTATCATGATTAAAAGTTGTTATTAAAGCTTAATCAAGCCTAGTGATTTTGTTGTGTTTTTGCTCTATAAATCAAGAATTAACTCGTTAATAAGTAGTTTTTTGTTTAAAAATACTTCATGCAATATATTGCAATACATATCGCAATACATGCTTTCGCATCGCAATATATCGCAATATGAAAATTCTCTGCAATACCCACCCCTACTTGTCACGCTGAAGGCCCGGGTTCGATTCCCCACATAGGTTCAATGTGTGTCCCCGCTGTGGTATTGCAGGAATATTGCCCAAAGCGGCATAAAAGTAAACTCCCTCACTCAGTGTTATAATGAAGTGATTCCCTTGGCTTGCTTATACTCCATGAACACTGAAGGCAATTATTTAACCACATACCTCTATAACACACTTTTGATTTTTATAGAGAATATAAAACGTATTTGTGTCCAATCTTTAATTTTTAAAATCTAGAGAATTTGAAAGTTTATGCAGATCAGCGAGATCTTCATTTTATCATATTGCCACATATGTATAAAGCCCATTTCTAGTGTGTTATTGCTGGAATATTGCTAAAAGTGGCGTAAAACTATACTCACTCACATTGCCATCTCAAAAGTCAACATTGAAAAAAAAACATCTGAAAAAATTGAAAGATACAGACACGAATGATTAATTCATATGACCGATAGAACTGTTGTGTTTATTTTACATTGTACAGTAACGTGGAAATATAAATATATATACATACATGTATATGTACGTCTAATTTTAAAAATCTTTATTAGGAAGATTGAAACAGATAATATTATATTGATATTTTCATTTGTTGTTCATTTTTGTACACAGTTGGGATCAGAGGGAGGTATCTGTTTCTAAGAAATTGATAATGTTTACAAATGAACAGTACATGAAATTCATCTTCGACATAGCCTTCATTACAATAATGAATAAACTATTTTTTCATGTACATTTTTCTTAATTATGTCTTTGCATAATGACACAGAAATCTTGAGGATGATATTTGACAGTGTCAGTTTTGTGATAATATGTCATTTAATCTTTGCTTAAGGATAAAGTTAAATAACTTATCATTTCCAGCATCTTGAGATTTATATAACCTGTTCCACATTTATCTAAGACGACCTAGCAATAAACGGCTCCGTGTGTTCAAATACATGTATTTAATGAAAATATGCCAGAGAGAGTATACCTATCTGTAATGACAAAATTAACCGTTCAAAAATGGTAACTGTAAGTAAATCTAATTAATAATGATTACTGAAGCACCAAAAGTGTCTGTGTATATTTCCAAATGGCTAGAGATACATATTGCATCTGTTTTGAAGTGGAACACTTTTTATGGATAGACAACTTCTTTGTTGCAGTAGTAGTTGCGACGTTTCGGTGTAGATCCTAACACCGTTATCAAGCAAATGATACACAACATTTGCACAAGGAGAAATATATACATGGCGGGTATTGGTTTATACAATAGAAGAGGTTGATGTACGGTGTGTTGACATGAGACTTGTTGTGATATCATTTGCTTGATAACGGTGTTAGGATCTACACCGAAACGTCGCAACTACTACTGCAACAAAGAAGTTGTCTATCCATAAAAAGTGTTCCACTTCATCATACCAGCTTCTAAATGCCACTTAAGGAAATCTGTTTTGAAGATCTTCAATTTCTTCATATCTATTTAACAAATCTATCGCGAGTAGGACTGCGCTGATAAGTGTAGTGACAATAAATGTACAATGTATTTAACTGAACTTAGAATTTCGTAGAAGTAATCATCCTTTGGAGGCAAACGTATTGTACTATATTCTGATGAATTGTGTACGCTCTGGAAAACAGCTTCCTTGGGATATGAATTCCACAAACAAACGAAAACGAGAATTATATGTTAACCCATTCAATATAACCTAACTTTTCAAAATGTAATTTGTGTTTAATATTAAAACACATCTCTAAAGTGATGAGAAGATAGAAACCAAATCTGAATGATTATTATCAGCTAATTCTATACATAATGAGGTGAGGTGAAATTGGGTTTAACGTCGAGCTTGAGAATATTTCGCTCATATGACGACGTGCATGCGTGTGTATGTGTATGTGCGGCTGCTTGTACTAGCCCAGAGTTTTATAGTGCTAGCCCACTGAGATATCATGCCGCAGTGAAGCATGAATATCCCACTCAGACACATTATACTGACTCCGAGACGACCAGTCCTTGTTGTACCCATTAATGCCGAGCGCAAGGCAGGGACCAACAAGTACCATATTTTAACGTCTTTTGATATGACGCGTTCGGGGATCGAACCCGCGACCTTCCGCTCTCCGGGTGGACGCTCTAACCACTACACCACGGAGGCGATCTATACATAATGGCGTGTAAGGAGCTATATTTGCAATATTGACAAAAGCGGTGTGAGATTATGTCTGTTCAAGTAATACGCGTATACAAGTGAGGTTTTTCCTTTGAATGTGTGTTTATTGTTGTTAGTGAGGGGTGTTATTATTTCAAGGAGGAGTCCATTTGCCATATACCTTACTCGAGGCAGCTGATGAATCTAAGCCCACAGTTTCGAACAGATCGGCAAAAGAGACAAATCTCCCTTACAAACAGATTAATTATGTTGCAGATGGTTTAAATACACTCTGGTATGTTTTGATCTCACAAGAGCATTTATCATTTCATTAAACACCGTTAATGTTTACACTATTTCAAGCTTCAGAAGATCATTTTACCCAAAAGCATTATTATGGTTCGCTCTGGATTAAACTGATCCGGTCTTAAAAATGTATGTGTCCCGGATTTTAAAGAAAGACAGATTCCATTTCCGGTTACAAACAACATGGCGGCGCCGAAACGACCGTGGGATCCTTGGAAAGTTTTTGATGTTAGTGCAGATGAATTGAAAGCAGTTCAAGAAAGAGCAAAGATGCGGTCTGCATTAAAAGCGGAATTTCAAAAGAAAGTCACAAACCCCATCCAAGGAGCAAACAATGGAGGATTTATGGTTTGTACCTTTGTATGAATGCTGTGACCTTCAGCACTGCTACTAGCAGTGTGTAAATATTTCGTCCAAAACACGACTTTCGTGGCATTAATAAATCAGTATTAGTAATCAGCGACAGGGTGAAACGTGACAGGCGAAGGCGTGCGTCATGCACAGCAGTAGTGTGTAAAGCTGACCTGGTTTGGGGACAAATATTTGTACTGTCACTACTGATACCGAACTCTCTGGTGGTATTATTAAATATTTCGGTAAGACTAAGAGTACGCCAACCTAATTATTTTCAAAAAATACAAAGATATACAAGTAATGAAAAATACCTTATAAAATAGGCGGGGGATACGTAAGGAACTCTTTCCTTCTAATGTCACGTGTTTTAATAGTTCTGCCTAACAAAGCTAAAGCAATATCGTTCGTGTTTGTTTAATGCCTCACCCAGAAGTACTCCAGTTATAACTTATATGTCTGTAATTGCGATACAATGACATTTGTCATCCAATCCTGAGCCAGACCATTTGATCTTCTTAATCCCTTTAATGACAAGCGACAATTTTACCTGATTTTTTTGCACAAATTTACTTTGAAGCTTCATATTCAGACTAATTTCCCACAGTGTCAGGCTACAATGCTCCTGTGTTTCTGGATAAAAGGCCTCTTTGAGCAATTTGACAAAACTGGACAAACACAACAGATTACATGTTTTGTCATGTTTACTTTGCAACAGGTTTCAGTAAATTATTTAATCAACTTGAATCACTGTATTTTACTGCTGATATGTGGATTGGCACATACATGGCCACGATGTACAGCATATTCGTTGGTTTCACATTACTTTTCAACTCGCTGTGCGCATGCGCAAAGCGTGTGAAAACTATCCACTGGCATGCTTCCGATTTGGTCGTATTTTTATCGATAGCGTAAACACTCCAAAGAAAACAAATATCAAACAAATATATAGTTTTATGTCGAATACAACTGATCTCAGTTGATTTATGAAACAGAGGCCGGGATTAGTTAAATAAATAGCTTAAGTTATGTTAACAAGCTCTTGTATGAAGACATCTCACCACCACCGTCCTTCCCGCACATCCCCTTCTCACAACTTAACAAACACGTCTCTGATGGAGTTGCAGCCAACATAGGACATCAATTATTGAAAAGCATAGGCAAATGGATGTATGTACTCAGCTATGAACAGTTGTCACAACGTGAATAATTTTTCATAACAACTTTTATTTAGCGTGTATTTACACTATCGATAAACATACGACCAAACCGGAAGCATGCTAGTGGATATTTTTCACACGCTCTACGCATGCGCACAGTGAGTTGAAAGTAATGTGAAACCAACGAATGGTGTAACCTAAACCGGAGAAAGTCAATCGTCAATCAGAGCAAAAATGATGTGGTTTGTAATTAATTATCTTTCAGTTTGATCCTGCCATCCAGAGGTTCATGTCGATGAGGTCATCCCAGGCTGATTTTTTCAAGGCTTCTCCCAAGACCGTGTGGCATGGCTTTGCTTTTGTAGTATTTCCAGTAGCCCTTTTGTCATACCTGACTATTTCAGGAAGGGTAAGTGGACACCTTGATGCTCTTCTTTTACATTTATGTCCTTCACACTCATTTAGTAGTTTCACCTCAGATTCTCTCTGAAACTACACATTTCTACCTCCTTTTTTTAGATCAGTTTGAAATAATTGTTTATAAGTTGTAATATTCCATGAAAAATCATAGGGGCGAGGGGGAAACCTAGTGGTTAAAGCCAAAGACCTGTGTTCGATTCCCCACATGGGTACAATGTGCGAAGCCCATTTCTGGGGTCCCCACTGAGTTTTTACTGGAACAGTGCTAAAGGCGGCGTAAAAACATACCCTCTCATTCACTCACTCAAAATTAAAATTTGTCCAAGATTACACCACCTAAAATACAAAATGAGGTTAAAATCCAATGAGGTAGTCATGACTAGTAGCCTTGAGAGCCATTATTCTGAACCAGTTCTCAAATTATACACTCTTTGCATTCATCTGACGTGTTAAATATACGTCAGTTCAGTTGATGGAGTTTAAATATCAATCCTAATATCATAAGAAATACAATAAATAAATGTATGTGACGCAATGGCTGGTTAATTGTTGAAGTATGTATATAGGTGTCTTTGTATTTAACCGTGTTTGTGTCATCTAGCAAACAAGCAGTGTTTTCTTTTCACGATTCACATCAGGTCATGTCGTTTACATCAACAATGCAGTGGTAGTCTGTATTGACAAAAATATCAAGCAATACATTAAAAAAATATCAAATTTTCAACAATATTCTGTGAGTTGAGGCTGATATTGTTTTGTGCAAATACCTTACCTTACCCTGTACCCAGCACTCGAGCCACAGGGATTTGTGTATTGGCTAGATCAGTTTGGGAAAGTTTAGAGGATAACGTTTTTGATGGGTTTACTTAAAAGTAGAACTTCAAAGACAGAGTTCAGGTTTAAAAGATTGTCACCATCGTGGTGTAAGAAGTAAACAAAAGCAGTGCTAAGACCCCAGCAGTGACAATATAGTATAACCAGAAATTATTGAGAATTTTAGGAATACAGTCAAATCCCGATGAGTCGAATTGCTGGGGACCAAGTAATAAATTCGACTTATCGATGTATTCGAGACATAGGTATCACCGTATGTGAGGGTAGAAAAAAAAGATGATCCAGTCCTAATTCCTCTGCCTAAGCATTTGTTTATCTAATGATATCCATATCACTAATAGGGGCACCTTATGAGTTCCAGTCTGATTAGCACAGACAGTGATTTCCTTAAAATCATTAATCTGCCTTTTGAACTCACCCATCAATGGCCGAAAGGTGTGAGCCGCGCTGGTTTGTTAATTGGATCAGTTTGCTACACCAATCAACTTCTCATTGACTGACTTCGGCTTATGTATACAAGATTGCTGTTGTTTGAATCTCATGGGACCAAATTTCCTTCTCGAGTCATCGTGTGTATTTATGAGACGAATTCGTGTAACCGGTATTCAAATGATGACAACTATAACAGGGAATGGTCGGGACCGACAGGTACTTCGAGTTATGCATAATATTCAAGACACCGGCATTCGACTCATCAGGATTTGACTCATCGGGATTTGACTGTATGTTTAATTGGATTTTTAGTATAAACAACCTTGACCAGCTATCAAGTGCTTGGTTTCATTCAAGAGTGACAACTCCGTTAATCCTTTTTCATTAGTTTGTGAAGAGTTATCCCCCCTTTGTTTACTTGCTATCAGACGACATTTTCAATGATCCTCAGTATGGATGATTTAGAGAAGAGGAAGTTGATTTTACAGTATTATAACAAGGACATCAGATCAGCTAAAGTGATTTCAAGTAGAACAGGCATCCCTTTGTCCACTGTTTATCGTGTTTTGAAAAATATTGCAAATGGATATGGCACTGAGCACCAGGGAGGCGCAGGTAGGCCCAGAAAATTGACTGTCGGTGACAGGAGGCGGCTTGGTATTCTTGTTTCTAAAAACAAACGAAGGAGTTTAGAAAACTTAAGGCTGGATATGATTGATAGAGGAACTGTGGCTATCTGTAAGGAGACAATTAGAACTGAGCTGCATACAATGGGTTGGCAGAAAAGTCGAGGAGTTCCATCACCGATTGAGAAGCCTGAACAAAAGGAGCGAAGGAGCTTACAGCATAGAAATTTTAACTGGGACAATGTGATTTTCTCAGATGAAAGTTCTGTGTGGCTGTTTCCTAATACACTGAAATTCTGGACCAAACATTGAAACAAACTGAAAAACCTTTGTATCAGCGCCAAAAGTACAGTCCGAAATTTAACGTGTGGGGTGGCATATCTGTGTTAGGGGCAACGTCCCTCTGTGTATTTGGAGGGAATATGAAAAGAGAGCAGTACACAGATATTCTCGAGGGACATTTACTTTCTGCTCACGTGTTCTATGGAAATGTTTGGATTTTCCAGCAGGACAACAACCCAAAACATCGTTCAAAGCATTCACGGGCCTGGTTTCGGACCCAAAATATGACATTATTAGATTGGCCAAGCTATGGCCCTGACCTAAATCCAATAGAAATGTTTGGGGAAAGTGTCAATAAGAAAAATCTGACAAATATTGCTGAAATGAAAGAAGAGGTGGTCCAATATTGGGACAGCATTGACCACGACTTTCTAACTCCTTTGATCAGTAGTATGCCCCGCCGCATTGAAGCCTGCATTGCTGCCCATGGTGACTTGACAAAATACTAACTGTTCACCTGTCTTTGAATCTGGAGATATGTTCTGCTAATATTCACGTTTAATATGTGAGTAATGAGTGCAAAAAAAATAAAAAATGGTTGTACTATATATACAAAAGAATTGTTCATGTGTTTAGGATTGTCTGTTATGCAATTGTATTGTCTCAATGTCATTAAATGTTAACAGTTCACAATAAGATGACAAAATGTACAGAATACATATACATTATAAAATAGAAAGAGCACAATAAGTCTTGAATTAACTTGAGTCTCATAAACTGTATCTTGCTTGAAGGGATGTGGTATCAATAAAGGAAATGTCCTGTATGTGTCCTTACATTAGACACTGGCTCCTTGAAACCCCTAGTGAATTACTCCATTTCTGTAAAGACGAAAAGGTCTAGTGTCAGAAACAGTACCATGAGTTGCTCAGTATCGAGAGTCATGTATCATTACAAGAATACGTTATCCTTTTTGTATATTTTTTCCCATCTACACTGGATGCCAACTTATCCAGCCTCCTGATTCCCAGAAACCTTGCGACTTACTTAATCCTCTGCGTCCCTGTTGGGACATAAAGCTGCAACAAACCCTGTGAACTGGTCCATGAGAACAGTGAATATCAATTGCAAACAGAGCAAAATCCACATTTATGTGTCCTCCTTACTTGGACAGCAGTTACACTTAACCATGTGTGTTTAGCAACTCCTGCTGGGAGCTCACATGAAAGGGAGAGTATCATGTAATCACTCTGTTGATTAATGACATGTCTCAATCGCTAGTTGGGCAGCCATTGTCTTTTGATACAGAGGGGATGTGTTGCATTGCATAAACCGTTATTGGGGGAATTAACTCTGGTCAGTTTAACAAGGGTGCCCAGACAAACAAGGTTCAACTATTCTCTGTACTGTGTGTTTGTACCTGTGGCATCTTGTACTAATGAGTACTGTTATGCTGTAATGAGTATGATTATTGTTATCATGTGAATCTACTGACTCCAGGGATCTATACTGGCTCAGCAGTTGATATTTGGTTCCAAGTCAGTACAAATTCCCAAATTATATTGTCCATGGGCCTGTTGTTGCAGTTAAGTTATATCTCTGTAATTAACAGGACCAATAACAGGAATGTGTTTTATAGTGTTTATTTAAATATTATGGCATTGGATGCAGTGTTAAAATATGATAAAGAAAGAATTTGAGAAAATATGAAATCCCAGTTTTTTAACGTAATAATGGAATTCAATCTTTTTGGTCTATCTCTATGACATTGTGAGTTCATTTTTATCCCACCGGCATGTAATGCGGTGGGATATAGTCGTCACCTCGTCCGTCTGTCCGTCCGTCTGTAATCATTTTGTTCCCGGAGCATAACTCAAAGACCGTTCGATATTTTTCAACAAAAATTGGTAGATATGTCAAACATAACATATGGTGGTGCCTTTTGCTATTTACAGATTATTGTCATTTTTATTTTTCTCGGTTTCCATGGTAATGTTTTGGACTTGGTCTTAAAGAAGGGTGGGCTTCATTTCCGGAGCATAACTCAAAAACGGTTCAATATTTTTCAACAAGACTTGGTAGATATATCAAACAGAACCTAAAGTGGTGCCTTTTGCTATTTGCAGATTTAGGTCATTTTTATTTTTCTTGGTTTCCATGGAAACATTTTTGACTTAGTCTCAAAAAGTAAGGATTGCTTTCGTTTCCGGAGCACAACTCAAAAAACGTATAATATTTTTCAACAAAACTTGGTAGATATATCAAACAGATCCTAAAGTTGTGCCTTTTGCTATTTGCAGATATTAAGCATTTTTATTTTTCCTGGTTTCCATGGAAATGATTCGGACTTAGTCCCAAAAGTGAGGGGTGGGCTTCGTTTCCGGAGCACAACTCGAAAACTTCTCAATATCTTTCAGCCAAACTTGGCAGATATGTGAGGCAGGTCCCAAAGTGGTGCCTTTTGCTATTTGCAGATATTTGTGATTTATTATTTTCTCAGTTTCCATGGAAATGATTCGGACTTAGTCTCAAAAGGAAGGGGTGGGTTTCATTCCCGGAGCACAACTGGAAAACTTCTTAATATCTTTCAGCAAAACTTGGCAGATATGTGAGGCAGATGCCAAAGTGGTGCCTTTTGCTATTTGGCAGAATTTTGTCAATTTATTTTTACCGATTTTCATGGAAACGATTCAGACTTAGTCCCAAAAGGAGGGGTGGGTTTCGTTTCCGGAGCACAACTCGAAAACTTCTCAATATCTTTCAGCAAAACATGGCAGATATGTGAGGCAGATCTTGAACACGTTGAAGTGGTGCCTTTTGCTATTTGCAGATGTTTGTGATTTATTATTTTCTCAGTTTCCATGGAAACACTTATCTCAAAAGGAAGGGGTGGGTTTCTTTTCGAGTGGAAAACTCAAATATATCTTTCAGGGCAGATATGGGGCAGATTGGTGCCTTCATTTGGCAGAATTTTGTCAATTTATTTTTACCGATTTTCATGCACAAAAGGGTGGGGTTGGTTTCATGAGAAAACTGGAAAACTTCTTAATATCTTTCAGCAAAACTTGGCAGATATGTGAGGCAGATGCCGAAGTGGTGCCTTTTGCTATTTGCAGATTTTTGTCATTTATTGTTTTCATGATTTCCATGGAAATGATTTGCACTTAGTCTAAAATCAAGCTGGACTTTAAGTAACTGTCAGATGATTTGTTCTTTCAAAGATGTGGGGGCCGGGGGGGTGGGGGGATATGTCATCTTCTGATGACTCTTGTTAACACACATCATGACATGGAACAGTTTCTTTCATATTGCTATTCCTTGTTTCAGAGGGAGCGAGAGAAGAAGTATCGTTCTGGAGAAATTAGCTACAAGGACAGACCATGGAAGTTCATGTATTAGTGACACTGTAGATAAACGTTGAAGGAACAGATTGGGCACATTATTCACCTTGGATCCCTGAAATGGTCGACAGCAATTCATTATTCTGGATAATTGTTGCCATAGTGTGTTTGTAAATTCTGGAATAAATATGTTGTGTGACATACTGAGCTTGTTATCCTCATCTTTCATGTGTGGTTTGGCTCATCTGGAACAAGCATCCAAGTTAGTTACAGCATGGTGTGTTTGTCAAATTATTTCTGTGTGACAACTTTCAACTTCATCTCTGAAGTTTTGGATCTGAAAGAAACTGTAAGGGGCTGGCTCATTTATTTTGATTGATTGATTGATTTTATTTCGGAAATGAAGGCTTACCGGCCCATAGTTCACATATATTTTCATTTAATAAACTTGACAGAGTACCTTGTTATATGTATTATGACATATGACAATATGTGATTTGCCAACAACATTTAAATATCCTTACATGATACATTTATATCATTTACAATTGTTTCAATCCAGTTTTGTCTTAATTTAAAGCTGTAAAATAGCTCCTAACTTCCAAGCGTGCTGCTTCTTACAAATTGACATGATATTAGTAACATTATATACTACCGATCCAAAGTTTTGACTCGCTAGTGTAAATGTAGCCACTTTCCTCAGTCAACTGTTACGAACGAGATTTTGCAAAATATTCCATACTGTTTAAAGGTACTGTTTACACATGAACTGATGTATTGTAAAACAAATTTGTATCGTTGAAAAGATTAGTGTCATGAGTTCAATAAATGATGAAACTTAGTGAAAATTGGTGAATCCTTAACAAAACTTTACACCAAATCGCACCTGTTCACATGCACGATGTTTGCACATGCTTTTCAGCAATTTGATGCATGATCCTCGTGCAATTCATCCGCATAAAGGTTGCAGTTGGTTCCCCCAAGTTAGTGGAGAAATTCATCTTCGATGTAACCATATATATGTACATAACATGTACTGAGTGCTTTAAGTGACCCTATGACCGCCTCCGTGGTGTAGTGGTTAGAGCGTCCGCCCGGAGAGCGGAAGGTCGCGGGTTCGATCTCCGACCGCGTCATACCAAAAGACGTTAAAATATGGTACTTGTTGGTCCCTGCCTGGCGCTCGGCATTAATGGGTACAACAAGGACTGGTCGGCTCGGAGTCAGTATAATGTGTCTGAGTGGGGTATTCATGCTTCACTGCGGCATGGTATCTCAGTGGGCTAGCACTATAAAACCAGCTTAAGTCTGGGCTAGTACAAGCAGCCGCACATACACATACACACGCATGCCCGTCGTCATATGAGCGAAATATTCTAAAGCACGACCTTAAATCCAATTTCACCTCACCTCACCTTTCAGTGACCCTAAACTTTTGATGGGTAGTATATATGTATTCATTCCTTAAATTTTCAAACAGTGGACAAATCAAAAGAAAATGTTTTTCATCCTCAAGCAGTCTTATTGAATAAATCTTTTCACAATATAAACACACTATATTTTCAAATGAGATACTTTCCCAACCTCCCGACTCAATACGTAAATTATGGTTCCCACAGCGAAATTTAGTCAAAAACCTTTTAAAAAGTTGTCACTTTATGTTAATCAAATATTGTTCAGGATGGAGTGAGAACTTAAATTTTTCATAGAAATTTAATTTAACATTTTCATTAAATTACATAACCATTTTTGAAAAGAGACATGTACAAAAAAATATAAAAACATATGCACATTTCCAACACCTTGATTTAGCCAAGCAAAACCAAAACCATACTCAAACAAAATGTCTCTAACAAATCCAACCCATGTTTGTCTACCAACATTATGAAGAAAATACATCTTTTTATTTCAAATAAGTGGATATCTACAATCTGGCATGGGCAGTACTTTCAACCAGTATTTAATACATTTGGTTATAATGGATACCTTCCTAACTCATCAAGTACTGCGGCATTACTTGTATTACATGAAAGACCTAATAATTGTATGCAAAAATAAAGTTGAATACTTTCAATACATGACATACTAGTATTTTGATATCCCCAAATTTCAGAGCTGTATTCGAGGATGGGTAAAATCATTCTATCAAATAAAAAAGCATGATTTTGAAATGGTGATGTTATAACGCTTAATAAACTTTAAAAGACATTGATTACAACTAATGATATGGCTGTTTTCATCATGGAAGGTTAATGGATTAGTCTGGCTATGTTTACATACATACACATACATACAAACATTTGTAAAGCGCTAGTATCCAGCGTTAGCTGCTCAAAAGCGCTAGTGTTTGAGATAATTGAAAAGGGTCACTGAAATGCCATATTGAAGAAGAAAGTTTTGAGCTTAGATTTGAACGTGGACAATGTTTGCTCGGTTCTTATGTCAAGTGGGAGACTGTTCCAGAGAAGGGGTCCTGCACGTTCAAAAGAGCGGTCGCCAAACGTTTTTGTACGGGAGGAGGGTACAGTTAGGAGAGACTTGTCAATCAATCAATCAATCTTTATTTCATACTGAAAGGCCACAGGCCTGTAGTACATTGTTTAATCATGTGCGGGTAGTAGAGCATTCTTTCGGGAGAATAAAAGCTTTATGGATATATATGGACAATCTTTCTATATGTGTTTTACTGGAATTATTCATCAATGATATAAACTTATGCATTTCAGGATGTACATAATAATATTTCTTTATATATCTATTTCTTAACGATAAGTATGCTGGGCAAACACATAAAAAGTGAAACTCATCTTCGACCTCGTGTAAGTTGCACATTTGGCAGATTCTACTTTTTTCTCAATACCTTGGTATCTCCCAGTTTCAACATATAAATCATGCGCGGAGCAGCGGAATCTCGCCAATGAAGATTTATATTTCCTTATGGTCAAGACTGAAAATAATGTTCTGCATATATGGAATCTTTTATCATTTTGTAGTAAAAACATTTATTAGATAATGAGAGACTAGTTAACCAATTTTGAAGGAATATATCTTTAAGTCTTTGTTTAACTGTACAGACAAAGTGAGAAAGAGATTCTACAAATTGTTCATGCCAGGCATTGCCGAAGCCGATAGATGATAATAACTGTTTTATGTCTGTTACCCAATTACGTTTCCTATGGCTATCATATAGTATCATCATTTCATAACATTTTCTTGGCAATCTGTGTGAGGGCATTGTTAATAATTTCAACCAATATCTAATAATTTTTACATTTGATTCTATGTACAATGGATATCTTCCACATTCTCCGTACACCATACAAGTTGACGTGGCTGTTTTTACGCCCAGAGAGACTTGTCACATGAGCGCAGTGTCCTAGGTGGGTGGTATCTGGTCAGCAGACTGCTGAGGTAATCTGGTGCTTTGTTATGGAGGGACAGGAACACCAGTACAAGTATCTTGTACTGTATCCGGTAGCGCACTGGCAGCCAGTGTAGGTCCTGCAGGACTGGTTGTATGTGGTCGAATTTCCTCTTCCTGCAGTCTAAGTAAACTTAGTCTCAGTACTATTCGTTACACTCCTCTACCTCAGTATAGTAGGGTAACGAATAATACTGAGGCTAAGTTTACTTAGACTGCTCTTCCTGCGGACAACTCTTGCTGCGGTGTTCTGCACTTGTTGCAGTTTCTTGATCAGGTGGTTGGGAAGCCCGAAGAGGAGGGAGTTGCAGTAGTCCAGGCGGGATGTTACGTGAACCTGGACAAGTGAGATGGTTGAATGCTGGTCGAGGTACCGCCTTATTAGCCCAATATTTCTGATGAGGAAATAGGCTCGCCTGCAGATGGTATTAACATGAGACTCAAGAATGAGGCTGCTGTCAAATGTCACACCCATTGTTTATTGTTTAGATTCGTCAGTCGGATAAAGGATATGCACTTGCAAAGTGAGTGACATCTATATATTGATCCAGTTTTGATATATCCCTGAATGTTTGGACAATGTATCCTACATAGAACAGAGAAGTATGATCAGCTCATATTAAAGAATTGCCAAAATGTGAATCCTGCATCCAATCACAGTGCACAAGAAGCTTTGTCATGACTGTTGAACAAGCTATTGGACTGGCAACGTTTTCAAAATACAACCTGGCCAGATTTGGTCTGTATTTTAAACAAGATATGTCTAGCACCACAATATGTTGCAGATTCTTTTATGATTATAATTTTTAAGGAATATACGTCAGTTCATCTAGGTGTAGCTTTAAAAAAGCAAACTTATAACAATTTAAAAATATTCAAGATTTTGTTTAAGAAACCACATTCATTGCTTTAACACTTACAAGCATACACCATAATATGAGTGTTCTACTGTAGCATGTAAAGACTAATTGAAAAATGCCAACTCAGCATAGGACCTTGTCTGTCTCACAGTCCCTGAACCACATTAATTTCCCTACTGCCAAGCCCTCTCTGCAGTGCTTAAGCCCTAAATAAAGCAAGTCTAGATTTTCTCAGGTTCAGGAATCTCTGGTCTCCCTGGGGCTCCTTTTCAATATAAGTGGGCTTGTTTGTTACTATCAAAATTATATATATTCAGAGACTAAGCCTTAGTCTACATAGGACCCAGTAACTCATGCATGTATAGGGGCGGCGGGTAGCCTAGTGGTTAAAGCGTTCGCTCATTGCGCCGAAGACCTGGGTTCAATTTCCCACATGGGTGCAATGTGTGAAGCCCATTTCTGATCTCCCCACAGTGATATTGCAGGAATATTGCTAAAAGCGGCATAAAACTAAACTCACTCACTCACTCATGCATGCTTGTACAAGCTGATTAAGATGGATGTCAGATTGGTCAAGTTCCTTGGCTGGTTGAGTATCCTTGTACCCAGTACCTGATGTGTGTACTATACATGGTTTGTGGCACTCCGCGTTTTGCCCAGGTGTGCTAGAATCCTAGAGTGGTGGGTATGGAACCAGTATTCTGTCACCAATGGGATGATTGTCAAAGTTGACGTAACATGTGAAATATCTGCAGGCCCAATATCATGAGGTCTATTTACCTTACCATTGTCTGCTATCTAGTCCCAATGGAGCAGAGAGATCATTATTATTATTATTTATGAATCAGAGTCATTGATACTGTGTGTGTGCAACACATTGTTAAACATGTATGTCAGTAGAAAATAAGTGAAATACATGTCAT